TCTGTGTGTGTGTGTGTGTGTGTGTGTGTGTGTGTGTGTGTGTGTGTGTGTTGTGTGTGTGTGTGTGTGCGTGTGCGTGTGTGTGAGTGTGTCTCTTTAGCCCCCTGTTGTTGCTGTCCTTCCTCCCCCTCCTCTCAGGCTGCCGACCTCCCTTAGACTTTGACTCTGTATGCCCCCTTCTGGCCCCTCTGCTGTCAGGGATTGTATGCTTCTGATGGTGGAGTGTTGCTGTTGTCACTCGGCCACCTTTCAAAAAAAAAAAAAAAAAAAAAAACAGAACCTCAAGGTTCCGGCTCCTTTTCCATTCTGGGGAGCATCGGTCGGGTTCCAATAAGTACTCGCTCACGCTCCTCCCCCTTATGGTGTGGAGGCCCAAAGGACAGCATTGATTACTGCCCGGAGGAAGGATGTACCACCCTTAACCCCTGCCTAAGTTTGCCTGTTCTACGGGGATTCTATTCTTATCCTGTATTTGGTGCTAAAACCCTAAACCCTCGCTTAATACCTCTTTGTCAATCAGGCCTCGGCCACTTGATTTTCGAAAGTAGGAAAGATTCAACTGCTTAGTCTGGTGAATCTGGGTCTGATGCCAATCTGCATTCCATGCTTCATTAACAATATTACACCCTAATCATGGCCCGAATGGTAACTTTCTGCCCAATGAGGCCATCTTAGTCACAGCTAAGCGGTGCTCTCTTCTGATAAATTTAGCCAAATTTTAGCGGTCTCTGTCTCTATAGGCCAAAAGTCTTCAAAAATGCCTGGACTCGAGTTGTTTTTCGTTTTTATCGTCATTATTCTCTCCTGTTGAGATGCAAAGCAAAGCAATTCACCCGAACACGTTGGACTCACGCAAGAGCACTTCAATCATTCCAGTATGGCACCAAATTGCACAGCACCGAATGTGGAAGAGGACGCCGGAGTAGAGAGAGGGCGAGAGAGAAGAGATCACACCACATGACAACTGAGCTCTCCCGAACACGACCGACAGGTCAAATTTGCATGAAAACTCCTAAACAGACCCGTCACAGGCTAGTAGCTCAAAAGTGGCAGAATTGACAGTCGTTCCGTCGAACTACTCAAACCATCTAGCGCAACTACCAGTAGTGGCAAAGCGACCCTTTCAGCTGGTCGCCAGCCGGCGCTCATCAGGGGTCAGTGACGCAAGGAGGTGACAAGAGTCATTATCAACCCGCCTTCAAGTTGGCCTAGGGCTCTACAATTTGAACATTCCATTTTAAACCCTTCAAACTTCAAAGGAAGTCCTGAATGACCCCAGCAGGATAACTGAAAAATATGTGACTCAGGCCGTTTTCAGCCTGAGAAAACCGAGCTGTGACTCAGAGGTGCAAATCTGTGTTTTGCTGAGATTCTGAGCTCTGCCTGAGTCTATGTGTGGTCTGCCTGCTTGTGATCTGAGTACCTGTGCTTAGCACAAGCTCTTAGCCTCTTACATGTAATTTTCCGAAGTTCTCTGTACTTCTTGCCTGTATGCTGGAGCTACATGCAATTTTCCCGTAGGTCCAGAGGAGCCACTGACTTCGAAAAAAGCCTGAATTTAGACCACATCTCGGGTGGGTCGCACAGTAATCAGTGTTGTTTGCAAACTTGGCTGTAGGGCACTGTTTCCCGCCAGAAAGGGCCCTTCCCATCTAGACTGGAGCATGCTGGAGGAACAGAGAGGCAGTGATGGACCAGGCCTAGCCTCCACAATACTTAACGCACCAGTCTGTGCGAGCCTCTTTTTCCCAGGGCTGGGCCGAGCACACAAACACAGGAGCCGGCATGTAGCTGCCATTAGCATGCCATGGGAAAGGCTGGAGTGTTGCCTGGTGGAGAGAGGGGGCAGCTATCAGAGTAGGAACTTCAAGGTCTTCTTCATCCTACCCCATCCTCCTTCCAAGCTGGTCAGCCATGGCTGGCTACGGTGGAACTAGGAAGATGGGGATAAGCGAAGATGAAGGTGGGAGGTATGGAGTCCATGGGTGAAGGAGCAGGTAGCTCTTACTCTCTGCTTTCAAGAAGGAAGATAGAAGCTCAATAATGGCTATGGAGGGAGCGCTCTGACAAGGGAGAAGATGGAAGCCGTGGCTGCTATGACTGGATTTCATCTTCTTCGTGTTAAGCCTCCGATACGGCACTGTGGTCGTAGGCAAGAACCAGCGGATGTGAGATTCAAGTTTTTAAACTAGGAAAGTGTGAAGGACAACCGAGGGGCATGCGTCGATCTTTCATACTGCCACATGTATCTGATGCGAGTTTGCGTCAGCTTGGTGTGAGGAGTGTAGAACGGTATGTTGGATTTTTCGGTTTTGGTATACTCTTTGCAGCGAATAATCTGCTTACCTTTGGCTTTGGGGGAGGCCCTCCATCGTCTCCAAAGGGACATTGCTTCGTCATCTTGATCTGGAGGGGAGGCAGATGCCTTCATAAGAGGAGTGTCATCATGGGAGATCTGTATACGCAAGAGAGGGAGCATACAGGGATAAATGTTTGAAGAAATTGATTCCTGTCCTTTCATGCATAAACTTTGTAATCAGATGGGATGCAGAGCATGTGAGGCAGATCGTGAGCGTGATATTTCTTCTTCAAGTATTCGTGTCTCTTTCTCTCTTTTCTTGTGCTGTGTCTTTGTCGAGGTACAACTTGCTTTGTTTCTTTAATGCAACTTTGTGTTTTGCACGCATGAATGGACTAGGGACCACAGCAGGTGTGTAGAAATCAATGCTGCATTTTGTCGGAGGCACAGCAAGTTTACCCTCTACAGACCCGAATGCTCCCAGCGCAAAGCGAATGCCCCAGCAGTGCCTGCAATAATGTTATAAGTTATAACTCTCTTGTAAGAATAGCGACGTTCTTTGATCGACAATGCCATTTATCACCATCTTAGAAAACTGATTGCTGCTATTAACTCCTTTTCTTTTGCATGCAGGTTTTCTGGGAACCCAAGACTTTGTGGTGCTCCAGTACTTGTTCAGTGCAGCTCAGAACAACTTACAGAACCTTTGCAGTCTGAACCTATGGCGACCGGCATGAGAAACTCAATGCCATCTTCATCCCATCATAGCCCACTTGATCGCCAAGATCGGGCTCACAGAGATTTGCTGATAACGACGGCTGCAATAAGAGCAAACAGCATGGAGCGACACTCTACGGAACCGTTTGAAACCTCAAAAGAGACATCGCTATCCTCATCACTTATCCGTGCACGGCGTGTGGTCGAGGAACCTGCATCATCATCGCAGCTACGATCAGAGATCGGGCAGCCAGGGAAATCAGGATTATCAAGCGCAGATGCATCTAAGATCATCGGGGATGGCAGCCATCGTGTGTTGGTGTCATCAAGTGAACCTGGTCCGTGGGGAACAAAGTCTTTCCCAAGCAGTAGCAGTAGCAGTAGCAGTCGCAGCAGAAGCGGCGGTCCCCGCACCAGGGCCAACAATAGCCATGCTGATCAGGGAGCTGCCAATCCAAGTGTATTAGCACATAAACCCTCAAATTCAAGTTACCCCAGCACGGCCTCAACTGGTCATGATCCTGTCAGGGAAGCTGAGCCAGGATCCACACCGCGACCTTCTCCAATGGAGCAACGAGGGGTGGGTGCAGTGTCATCGTTGTCCAGAGCCCACAGTGCCCAGCCTAGCATCAAAATGGGGGGTACAATGAGTGGCAGTTTCGTGAAAAAGGACCACTTTGTATATCTTGCCCTTGCGAGTGGCGTAGGTATGCTCATCGCGGTGTTCATCGTATGCTTCCTCGGTTCACTGTATGTGAAGCGTGGTAGGCGATACCATAGACAAAAAGAAGTGCTAATGCGGTCCTGGGGTCTTCCACAACTGCGGAAGCCCTCCCACAATGCTCAGGGGTGTAAACGAGGTAAGTTATTGTTGCCATGTGTGGGATGAAGTAAGAGTGGGAAGAATCTCGATTCCTGACCATAAGCATCATCATGGTCTGTGCACCTTGAAAAAAAAAAAAAAAAAAAAAAAAAAGGGAGTAGTAACTTAGTAAGGTATCATCATGGTCCCTGTACCCAAAGAGCCAAAAGTTCCCAGGGAGAAAAAACTTTTTATTTTTTCAGAGTCATTCAGAGTCTTTTCAGACACGTAAAGAAAAAGGTCAGACGAGTCGTGTTGTAGAGAAATGATGTGTGTCATACTCAACACGTAAGGAGATCAACCAAATAACAGAAAATCCTAAAGAAAAGGTCACAGGCTCTGGAGTAATGTGTGTACTGTGTGGTAGTGTACCGAAAAATGTTGCAAGATAAGAAAATGGGTAAAGATTCTTAAGAATCTAAAGATGCTAAGGAATAAAGTGTGACAGCCAACACCCATGTCTCTATTGCACCATTCAGCAGATGTTTCAAACAGTGAGACGTACTTTAGTATTTTGGTTCTTTTTTTTTTTTTTTTTTTTTTTTTNTTTTTTTTTTTTTTTTTTTTTTTTTTTTTTCTTTTTTTTTTTCCGCCTGTCTCCATAACCATTCTGGGGACCGTCAGTCCGGGTTCTATTCCCTCTGGAGTGTAGATACCAGAAACTTAGTAGAAAGGTACATAACACACCCACTCTGAAGCCAGACAGCATTGGTTGCTTCCTTCAGAAGGATTGACTGTCACTCAAGCCCATGCTTAAATAAAAAAAAAACTTTCCCTCTTAATAAAAACTAAGTAAACTATCCATAAAACATAGGCTCAAAATCAGTCCATTTCATCCCTCTCAGTCCACTACTGCAGACTGCCAGAAGTTTCAGTCCTACCAAGGACAATCCGCACTGACCACACCGTCTCCCTTAGCTGCTGCTTGCTTGCCGAAGTTGTGCGAGTTGCACTGGATGTCGCTGAAGCTGTCATCTTTGCCTTTGCTGCAGTATGAGATACCTTCTGTGGGCTCCCTTCTGTATATTATATCTTCTTACTGGCCTTCTGCTTGCACTCTGTTCCCATAATAAGGCTGGCCACTTCAGCTATACTTCTAGTTATTCCTTCCCAGTCTCGTCTCCTTTGTCCCTTGTCTCTTCTTGATCCCTCCTGTTTCCCGACTCCTCTTCCCGTTCTTTTCACCCATGCCTTGACTTCTTCCCCCTTGGCTGTTTCAATACATCGTTTTTTAACTCCCCGTCTGACTAGTAAATACCCGTCACATTCATGTTGCTCTTCTTCCTTTCTCCTTGCTGTACCTGTGAGCGCTGATCGTTCCAGCCCTATTTTCTGACCCTTCTATGTGGTCCTCCTGCCTTCCCTTATAAGGAGGTTCTTCCCCCATTCCCCCATCTATTGGTCGTCTGCTGTTTCCTCGTCCTACAGTAACTACTCTCCGTCCACGTAATCCTCGTTTCCCTCTCTTTCAAATTTCAATGACATTTTCCGCCTCCTTCATACACCAATTTTCAAAACTTTACTCGTGAGTCTTGATTTTAGCGGCTTTTCCGATTTCCCCCTCTTTTAGCCAGTCCTTTTCGAATTGAGTCCTTTCATGTGGGTCTATCTCCATATCCACTTCCGTTAGCATCGTTCTCCACCCCACTCTTATTTGCACTTCCATCATCTCCCCTTGCTTCTGTCCGGGACTCTCTGAGAGATCGTTTTCCTCCCAGCCATCTCGTCGCGCCGTGCTCTCCAGATTAGCTGCAACACTGTCTTCCTTATCGGATTGATGATAATCCTGGTCTCCTCTTGCGCCATGTTGTCCCTGTCCATCGCGTTAGCAAGGCTGAGTTTGACAGGAACATACTCTTTCTGCCCATTTCCAGAAACCCCCGTGTGTGGGCACTCTATCAGGCAGTGAGCTAGAGGGTTTTTTTTTTTTTTGTTGTTGTTAAATTGGACCATTTCTCGATTTATGTGTGTCATTCTTGCACAGGGGCCATGCTGCTAATCTTTTCTGTATCGTTCCAATTTTAACGGATGTCCCAAAGGACTGTGAACTACAGTTTTGTACTTCTTGAGTACGGCACATTTTGCATTGTGGGGGATTTCTCCATTCCCTCCTATTCCTTCCCTCTTATGTTCAGCCATGTGTTGTTTACTGGGACTGCTACTGCTAGGTCCAGTATCAGCCATTGCAGGCTTCTTACCCTTTGTGATCTTACGGACGTGTAGTAGCTGCGGGGGATAGATTGCAGCCATTGATGGCCCTGTTTGTAGTCTTGTAGATGCTTTTCCCACCTTTCTGCTGTTGCTGGTTAAGGATCCATTGATTTATTCCTCGCTTGATACCCCACTTTTACGGAGTATTCGTGTAATGCTACCCATTTCTTGGCTTTCCCTCTTCCAAATTCCTCACACCAACTCCATTGAACTTTCGAGGGATCCATCTCCAGCTGTCTGATGTCATTGTCTCGTCTAAACGACCATACCGGCTCCTAAACACGCCTTCTCTGTAGTAGTGCTTGCTTCTGTTCGTTTTCTAATTTAATGTCTGAGTTTTCTGAGTCTATACTAGTCTATAGGTTAAAAAATCTGACTCTATGAGGGCCAGAGTTGAGTTAATCCGACTCTTGCCCGTTGGCGACTCTCCCTCCTTCCATGTGCAGTCCCCCTTTTCAGCAGTCTTCCTCATGGAAGCAGAATGCATTGTATCGTTTCCTCCCCGCTTTCGTGCAGGTTATGGGAGCCCTTCAATTGCACTCATTGAGTTTGTGCACCAATTTCCATTTTTGGCTCAAGTCATCCCTAATCCTCGATTATTGATATTCAGTGTTATTCACCCATTTCCACCTGTGCTCTCTCTCTCGAGGGCCAGAGTTCGGTTAATCTGACTCTTTTCCATAGCCGAGTCTCCCTCCTTCTATGTGTGGTTCACTTGCAGTAATTTCCTTCATGCAAGCGGGGTGCATTCTATCATTTCCTCCCCGTTTTTCTGCAGGTTCTGACGACCCTTCAATTGCGCTCTTTAAGACTTTTAAGTCCTCGTCGGACTCATCCCAGATGCTTGATTATCCATATTCCCTTGTCTAACCATGCCCTCCACCTCAGATGCTGGTCCTTTTATTATCTGTCGGGACTCAGGAATCAGGATGCTGTTTCCTAATAGAGGCTGTCTGATGACTTCCTCCTTGGTTCTTGGGCCCCTTGTTGGAAATGCCTCTCTCCATGCATTGAGAAGTTTGATCCAGTGTGTTTACGCAGAAGGTCTCTGTCCTGTGCTAGAGTCCCTCGTCTTGTTCTGCTGTTTTCCACCCGTGGAGACCAGTCTTTGTTCATCGCCCAGAGAGATCCTTTGGGGAGACCAGTCTTTGTTCATCACCCAGAGAGATCCTTTGATGTTGTCATCAGTCTCCAGAGCATCAGATTTCGATTTTGGTATAGGGACATGCCGTGCCGTGGAAGTTCTGTCTTTATTAATAGTCTAACAAGGGGTAGTAAGGGCCCATTTGGTCTGCAGCACCGTCCGCGCTTGCTGGTCTTGCTATGTGCTTCCATCCCAATTTAGTTAGGAAATGCTGTCTGGCTGCATCCAATGCCCAGAGGTAAGCTGAGACTGTTCTTCTAAGCTCCTTAGTGAATTCCTTTCGAGGGTCGCAAACTGATGCTGCATACCATTACCAGGGTCCACGGCTCTGCCCATAGGGAGAGTGTATACTTTCTGCCAACCTACATGTTTATTGGTTATGGCAGCGAGAATATTTGGTGTGATATAGTCACTGGTGCCCTCAATGCTGATGGGCATAGCGTTGATCATTTCAGAGAGGACTTTAAGTCAGTGTGATCTTCCCGGTGTGATCTTTTCACAGATGATCTCACAGTGCTATTTTAGAGCAGCGGACAACTCCATAGCTCCATCAGGGGGATCCACTGGTCCTCTCTCCCTTGGTCTGACCCTACTTTCTCCAACCACTCCCGCCTCCGTGAACTCAGCTCCTGCCTGCAGAGGCTGGCGCGTCGTCAGAGTATGCTCAAAGGAAACTGGGCAAACCACATCATTCACAAGGACAAGCGGTTGAAGAGAAGGAAAACAAAAGACCGGCAAAGCGCTTCTTGTCAATATGCCCCATGCCGCTGTCGAGCCCATTGGCTCCCGCCTTTTATCAAGCGCGGGAGCCCACCCGGCCATGTCATGCAGGAGTTTAAACAAAAACTATAGAGACAACTCAGGAACGACGCAAAAATAATCCCGCGAACCGCTGAGACGGGCGTGGTCGCATCGCTCCTTCGCTGCTCTAGCCGGGTGCGCCAGCCATACGCCCCTGAGGGTGGTGACAGCCCCTTAGGGAAGGCAAGTTGTGCCCCGCGGAAACCTATCCTGTCATAGGGGACCGTTTTTATCAAGCGCGGGAGCCCACCCGGCCATGTCAGATGAGCTCCCGCGCTTGATAAAAGGCGGGAGCCGATGCGCTCGACACCGCCTCCCCTGTTTGCTCTTCTGCTGTCATTCCCTGCAGCTTGCCTCCTACCTTCTTCTCCCGAATACAACGTACGGTCATTATAGCTGTATCTACACTGAAAGATGCCTCAAATACAGCTATAATGACCATACGTTGTATTTGGGGGAAAAAGATAGTCTCTCGAGAACTTCCAGTTGGCGGATGTTGGAAGAGCGATGGAGTATTCTTGCTTAATTCTTTGGTGGGGACATTCATTCATTCGCTGTGATTATTAATGATAGAAAGGCCGATGATGTTTCAAGCATGAAGGAGACAATGGAGGGCATTGTTGCTGTTTTGACGTCCCGTGTTGAACCCCATGATTATGACATGTGTGCAGGCAAAAACAAGAGAAATCACACTGTTTTTTTTGTGGGGAAACCATTGCTTTGCAGATGCACCAGAGAACTCCATGGAAGCTGGAGATGGTGATATGGATTCCATGGTGAAGCGGGTTAGCTCTCTGGAGCGGACAAGATTGCACGTGTTCAGCTATGGCGAACTCAGATCAATCACAGACAACTTCGCGACCCCGATCGGTTCTGGAGGGTTTGGATTTGTGTTCAAGGGGACACTCCCATGCGGTCAGGAAGTTGCCGTCAAGATGCACAAGCAGCATTCGGTCCAAGGCGTAGATGAATTCTGCAAGGTTGGTCAGACTGATATGTAATGCGCACTCTAA